GGGCGTAGGAGCAAGCAGCGCCCAGGACAGAGACGAGGAACATACGTGGCTCTGTTTGAGGAGGTGATGGCGTAGTTAAGCCCGGCGTTTAGCGAGGGAGCGAGGAGCGCCATTGGCAGCGAAGGTGCTGAGGACGCCCGCCATTGTGGCACGAGGCCCTATTAGCATGCTGGCGGCGGAGGGCTCGGCGTGCGAATTACAATTCAAACAGGCAGCTGGGACGACCTTCGGCAGGAGTCCCAGCCGAGTTTTGTATTTTCGGTGCGTTTCTGTTTCTAAACGCTGACATTAGAGCGCATTTAGAGAAGAGACCCGCCCGCTGACGCCCACGACGTTCTTGGAATGCCGTACCCGGAATTTCCTCGTCGGGTAAGACTCGTAATGAGGAAGCCGGCCGTCGCGAGCGCCTCGGAATGCCCAGTATTCGGGGAACGTCGTCGTCAGGAGCGTCTACAGGGGCTTCCGTCACCCGCAAGGACATGCGAACGGCGGGCCGCGAGTGGGAGAGAATCTCCTGGGGGTTTCTCTTCATCTCTCTCTCTCTCTCTCTCTCTCTCTCTCTCTCTCTCTCTCTCTCTCTCTCTCTCTCTCTCTCTCTCTCTCTCTCTCTCTCTCTCTCTCTCTCTCTCTCTCTCTCCCCTCTCGCCCTGTCTACCAGGATACGTCAGCACGAGAGAGAAAGTTTCAAGTCCGTGTTGTTGTTGAAAGAGCGTCTTCCGGGGCGGACGCGGGCGAGAGTTGTCGTAAGCAGAAAACGCAACGAATACCACGGTTCCGGAATTATGCGGGGAGGGGGGGGAGGGGAGGAGAGAAGAGGGGAAAGGGGGGGAAAGGGGAGAAGAGGGGAAAGGGGGGAAAGGGGAGAAGAGGGGAGGGAAGGAGAAAGGGAAAGGGGGAAGAGGGGAAATGGGAGAAGAGGGGAGGAAAGGGAAGGGGAGAAGAGGGGAGGAAAGGAAAGGGGAGAAAAGGAGATATAAGAAGACGGGAGGTAAGAAAAAGGGGAGGAGATGCGAGAAAGGAGAAGAGAGGAGGAAAGGAAAAGGGAAAGGAGAGGAAAGGAAAGGGGAAGGGTTAAAGAGTGGGTCCATCCTCGGGAATGCTACTCGGAATGTCTTCTTTTTCGTCTGTCCGAAGGCTGGGGCGCACAAGAAGTCGTTCCTTTGTTTTACTGAGTAACCCAGGAGGACGACTCAGGGAGACGACCCAGGGCAGACAACACAGGGGGACGACCCAAGGGAGACGACTCAGGGGGACGACCCAAGGCAGACGACTCAGGGGGACGACCCAAGGGAGACGACCCAGGGCAGACGACTCAGGGGGACGACCCAAGGGAGACGACCCAGGGCAGACGACTCAGGGGGACGAGCCAAGGGAGACGACCCCCGTCCCAGAGCGCCCTCGAGCGGCGAGCCTGCGACGGGCCGAGTCTTGAGAACAAGGCGTGACCATTCCCGAGTGAAATCTAATTGGATACTTTCCATAGGTAATTAAATGTCTGACTTTGATCGTGATGGACGTATCATACCTTCGATGGCCTTCTTGCGTGTGCGTGGGTATGTGTGTGCGTACGAGAGAGAGAGAGAGAGAGAGAGAGAGAGAGAGAGAGAGAGAGAGAGAGAGAGAGAGAGAGAGAGAGAGAGAGAGAGAGAGAGAGAGAGATAGTGTGTGTGTGTGTGTGTCTGTGTGTGTGTACGTGTGTACACATGTACATGTATGTGCGCGCGCGCGTGTAAGTGATACGCATCATACCTTCGGTAGCCGTTTTAGTATGTACATAATACGTATGTATGACGTATGCATGTATGTATGTACCTCTTTATACAAATATGGTTGTGTGGATAGCCACTTAGCGAGGCACGTGGCAGAGGATTCACCATTAGTCACACGAAACAGGGACTATTAGCATCATCATGGGTAACCTTGTAGAGTCTCTCCGATGTTGACAGTCGACGTATTTTGAGATTGACTAAGATCTTAATTCGATTATTTCTTTCTTCGTATTGTTCTCTCTAGAATAAAAAATAATAATGATAAACTGACGAGACCTTGAAAATAACAAAGAGCTAATTTTACGAAATGATTTTATTTTAAATGATATCGTATTATTAGAGACATTTAGGAACGAGGTAATTTTTGTGAAGTAATTTTACTTTAAGTTATGATTGTTATGAGGATGTCGCATACCATAACTTATTACCAAGCCACGTTATTGCCAGAAATATACTCAAATTTACACTTCATTTTAATTACAACGGGGCGCTCTTTCGAAAGCCTTTGTGTTCACAGTTCGTCTCGGCGGAAGAGGAAATCATCACTTACTTTAAAGAACCATACATAAGCTGCCGCCATACGTGCATGGAGATGTGTCTGTGGCGTTGGTTCTTTTTCTTTTTCGTCATCATCACCGTCATCATTATCGTCTTCATCATCGCCATCGCTGCCATCATCATCATCGTCATCATCATCATCGTCATCATCATCATCATCATCTCAGATGTAAAAGAGGCGAATATACAGAATGAAAATAGAGACAGGAATTGACAAAGGGTATAGCAAATAATAATAATAATAATAAAGAGAGAGAGAGAGAGAGAGAGAGAGAGAGAGAGAGAGAGAGAGAGAGAGAGAGAGAGAGAGAGAGAGAGAGAGAGAGAGAGAGAGAGAGAGAGAGAGAGAGAGAGAGAGAGAGAGAGAGAGAGAGAGAGAGAGAGAGAGAGAGAGAGAGAGAGAGAGAGAGAGAGAGAGAGAGAGAGAGAGAGAGAGAGAGAGAGAGAGAGAGAGAGAGAGAGAGAGAGAGAGAGAGAGAGAGAGAGAGAGAGAGAGAGAGAGAGAGAGAGAGAGAGAGAGAGAGAGAGAGAGAGAGAGAGAGAGAGAGAGAGAGAGAGAGAGAGAGAGAGAGAGAGAGAGAGAGAGAGAGAGAGAGAGAGAGAGAGAGAGAGAGAGAGAGAGAGAGAGAGAGAGAGAGAGAGAGAGAGAGAGAGAGAGAGAGAGAGAGAGAGAGAGAGAGAGAGAGAGAGAGAGAGAGAGAGAGAGAGAGAGAGAGAGAGAGAGAGAGAGAGAGAGAGAGAGAGAGAGAGAGAGAGAGAGAGAGAGAGAGAGAGAGAGAGAGAGAGAGAGAGAGAGAGAGAGAGAGAGAGAGAGAGAGAGAGAGAGAGAGAGAGAGAGAGAGAGAGAGAGAGAGAGAGAGAGAGAGAGAGAGAGAGAGAGAGAGAGAGAGAGAGAGAGAGAGAGAGAGAGAGAGAGAGAGAGAGAGAGAGAGAGAGAGAGAGAGAGAGAGAGAGAGAGAGAGAGAGAGAGAGAGAGAGAGAGAGAGAGAGAGAGAGAGAGAGAGAGAGAGAGAGAGAGAGAGAGAGAGAGAGAGAGAGAGAGAGAGAGAGAGAGAGAGAGAGAGAGAGAGAGAGAGAGAGAGAGAGAGAGAGAGAGAGAGAGAGAGAGAGAGAGAGAGAGAGAGAGAGAGAGAGAGAGAGAGAGAGAGAGAGAGAGAGAGAGAGAGAGAGAGAGAGAGAGAGAGAGAGAGAGAGAGAGAGAGAGAGAGAGAGAGAGAGAGAGAGAGAGAGAGAGAGAGAGAGAGAGAGAGAGAGAGAGAGAGAGAGAGAGAGAGAGAGAGAGAGAGAGAGAGAGAGAGAGAGAGAGAGAGAGAGAGAGAGAGAGAGAGAGAGAGAGAGAGAGAGAGAGAGAGAGAGAGAGAGAGAGAGAGAGAGAGAGAGAGAGAGAGAGAGAGAGAGAGAGAGAGAGAGAGAGAGAGAGAGAGAGAGAGAGAGAGAGAGAGAGAGAGAGAGAGAGAGAGAGAGAGAGAGAGAGAGAGAGAGAGAGAGAGAGAGAGAGAGAGAGAGAGAGAGAGAGAGAGAGAGAGAGAGAGAGAGAGAGAGAGAGAGAGAGAGAGAGAGAGAGAGAGAGAGAGAGAGAGAGAGAGAGAGAGAGAGAGAGAGAGAGAGAGAGAGAGAGAGAGAGAGAGAGAGAGAGAGAGAGAGAGAGAGAGAGAGAGAGAGAGAGAGAGAGAGAGAGAGAGAGAGAGAGAGAGAGAGAGAGAGAGAGAGAGAGAGAGAGAGAGAGAGAGAGAGAGAGAGAGAGAGAGAAAATAAAAAGAACAATATCCACAGAGAAAGTGGAAGGAAAAAAGTCAGCAAAGATCAACGGCGTCGCGGCTGTGACTCGTTTGCACGTGGAGGAGGAACACGTCATCGCAAACTGCATGGTCTCGTATTTTGCACGTGTTAATTACCCGGTGACGTAGCCTCCATCGCTTCCTTCCTCCTCCTACTTTCTTCTCTCGACCGCAGATCCTCCTCCTCCTCCTTCCTATCTCCTCTCTTTCTCTCTCTCTCTCTCTCTCTCTCTCTCTCTCTCTCTCTCTCTCTCTCTCTCTCTCTCTCTCTCTCTCTCTCTCTCTCTCGCTCTCTCTCTCTCTCTCGCCCTCTCTCTCTCTCTCTCTCTCTCTCTCAGCACACACATTTCTCCATGTATCTCCTCGCCCGCCCCCGCCGCTGCCCGCCCCCACACTCGCCCCTGCCCTGCCCCTGCCCTCCCTTCGCCGGAAGTCTCGTCCGACGAAAGGCTCGCGGTGTTGGCCGACGTGACCTGCCCGGCAAGGCGCCCCTCCCCTTCCAAACAGGCGGCGTCGATTCCCACAGGATGTCCACGCGATTGTCAGTGAGGCGAAGGTCCAGCGAGATCAAGCGCTAACATTACCGGGCCGCGTGTTCCTGTCCGCCAAGGTTGCTTCTCTCGCTGTTCCTCGTTTGTTGGCTGAAGCCTGCGCGTTTATTTAGCTAATTGTTGTATATTTATTTTATTGTTACTATTTTCTGTGGGGGGTTTTGGGGGGTTCTTTTCTTTGGTATCCGGCGAGGGAATAATCTCACTTCTGTTGGGTGGTTGGTAGCGGCGGCCAGTTTAGAGGATCATTTACAGGATCCACTTACCTGTTTTCTTTTATGTTTTGCTTCTTTTTTGTGTTGTGAGACTTGTGCATTAATCACACGCCTTTCTCTTGCCCGCAGACCAGGAGATGCGCACCGTCTCAGCGCTGACGCCGGTGCCATGCTCCGTGCTCAACAGCAACAGCAACAGCAGCAACCTTCCCCTCAGGGCGGCAGCACCAGAGACCTGACGCCGTACTCCCAGCAACAGCAGCAGCAGCAGCAACAGCAGCTGGGCAAGACCCCCGTGAGGGACTTGGGCGGCGGATCAGCCCCTGCCCTCAAGACGCAGCCCACCAGGGACCAGCCCCAGGTAAGCAGATCCGCCTTGTTCGCCTTTCGGCTTCATTTCATCTCGACTTCTCTTTGGGATCGGCGTCGCGATGTTCAGTATTCGGATCAGCTGTGATTCCTTCGTTTTAAGTTGGTGTGTTGTCGAGTATTAGGCTTATGAAACCTCCGATTTATACGATCAGTAAGACTATCGCGCACTCCGTATTAAGGAAAAGCATAACTTAAAACGTCAAAGTTAAGACACTCATTAGTCCTGCTCTACACTTTATTAATGTAGAATCAAGCCATTTATCCTTACCAACCTTCTACTAATATTCCTACATTTGATAACTACTATAATGATACCGTTGGTTATCTAAGAGAAGAATGGTAATAAGATAGGAGTGAATAAATAGAAGTGGAAGAGAAAACAGAATATCTAAATTTAAGGACAAGTCGAGGTGTCCAGCCGTTCATTCACTTCCGCTGCCGAGGATAACGATGTCGTAAGGTCGTTTTCCTCATCAGATAGACCCAGTAGAGCGCGAGATATACGGTTGATGTATAGAGCTCGTTCATCACGCTATCTAGGCCCCTTATCGTGTTCAGCTGATCTTTAATTTCCGATAAATATCTCTCGTATACCGATTGAAGCCTCGGGCTGGGGGAAGGGATGAATCTCTCTCATTCTGTGGGCTTGGTCTTTTTTTTTTTTTAACTGTGCTCTTCAGGAAGCAGAAGTGTGTGCGTGGGAATATGTATGCTACGTTGATACTGTTTTTTTTAAATGTATTTTTGTTTTTATTTATATGTTTGTCTTAATTTTGGTATTCAGCATTCGCGCAGAGTTATTAGATTTTTTTTTTGATCTGGTACTAAAATGTGCTCATCTTATAGGATATTTCACATGAATACGTGTGTTTCGAAATTTCTCTCTCGCTTTCTCGCGGACTTTCTCGCAGGGGCCGTTTTAATACAAAGTTCGTATCAGTTAGACACGTTCACAGACAGACAGACACCGCGTGCATTTCAGCGTTCGTGTGTGCGAGGGTCAGAAAGCCAGAAAGGTCAGGAAGGTCGAGAAGCACCGTGTAATTATCGTTCATCAGTCATGCGCCACGCTTGGGATTACGGTAGATGTTATTCTTCTACTGTTCTCCTGCTGTCTACTTCTGCTGCTGCACTACCGCCGTAAATAGTGGCTATAGACGCCTCGTTTGTCAGGGACGATGATTTTTTTTTTTTTAGTATTTCTGCTACTCTTACTGCTAGCTTTGTAGGGGTTTTATGAGTGTAAGTTGTATTTGTTTGATTAAATGCGGTGTTTGTTTTGTACCGTCGTTCAGTTATGAATGATGTTCACTTATATGTTTCTACTACTAGTACTATCACTACAATTACTATTATTATTATTATTATAGCAATTAATCCGCCTTCTCACATTACTGCAACTATTAATCTTACTATAACAACTATTACCAACAACTGCTATTACTCCTACTTCTATTTGTACTTTTATTTCTGCTACTACTACTACCACGACTACTAATACTGTTATTATTACTGCTTTTACAACTACTACTACTACTACTACTACTACTACTACTACTACTACTACTACTACTACTACTACTTCTTCTTCTTCTTCTTCTTCTACTACTACTACTACGGGTACCACCACTACTGCTATTTCTACTACCTTTACAACAACAACTACAACAACAACAGCTACTACTACTACTACTACTGCTACTACTACTACTACTACTACTACTACTACTACTACTACTACTACTACTACTACTACTACTATTTCAACTTCCGCCACCACTACTACTACGACCACTACTCCTTTCACAACTACTTCTACTACCACCACTATAACTACTACAACTTCTACTTCTCCTTCCACTCCTTCTGCTCACGCTGCAACTCGTCTTAGCACCGCACTACAAAGGGTTATCCTAGCCATATGGTCCTAGCAGTAGGCCCGTCGCGTTAGGCCTATAGACGAGCATAATGTACTTCACACAAAGCCCTATAAGGTTGTCCTGCGTTTAAAACCCTCCTGATGTTGTGAGTTATTGCCGTGCCCTGTGTGAGTGCTTGCATGTGTTTATGCGTGTGTCTCGGCGTGTTGTGCGTGCGTGTGTGCGTGCGTCCGTGTCTGTGGAGATTTATGTGAAGTGAAAATTTGTAAAAAAGGAGTTGGAGAAATGCCGTGTAGAGAGAGGTTATTTTTTATTATTTATTTGTTGTTGTTGTTATTATTATTATTATTATTACTATTATTATTATTATTATTATTATTATTATTATTATTATTATTATTATTATTATTATTATTATTATTGATATGAGGATATTGTTCCCGATTTTTGGTGGATTCTC